TTTTTTTCCACCGGCCGCGAAGGGGAAAAATAAAAAAAAAATAAAAATCGCCTTTCCCGCAGCGTTCACCGAGGGGGTTTTTCGGGGGCACGCTGGAAGCTCCTGCGGGGGCTGCTCCTCCCGTGGCAGCTCCTCCAATGCGCCAAAGTTTACATTCCTGGTACCTTCTTCTTCTTCTTCTCCCCCCCCACCTCCGCCTTTCTTTTTTTTTTTTTTTTTTTTTTTTGGGTTTTTTTTTTTTTTTTTCTCTTTTGGTGCAATTTATTGCTGGCGGGAGCCTGGATCTTCCTTGTCCGCCCCTGGCTGCGCAAACCAGCCCCTCTTCTTCAAAGGGCGAGGCGGAGGGGGAAATAAATCCCTTCCAAAATCCCAATTTGCGGCCCCGCCGGGGCGAAGGGGGGCGGGGGGAGAGGGGGCAGCGCAGCCCGACCCCCCCCCCGGGCCGCTCCGGGCTCCGAGAGGACCTTTCGGAGCTCGTTTCTCCCTCTGTTCCTCCTCCTTTGAGCCGCCAGAGAAAGCCCCGAGTGCTCCGGGGGTTCCAGCTCGTCCTCCCTTGGAGGCGCCGACTCAGATTTGAGCGCTCCTGGAGATACTTTGAGATTGGGTCGCTTTGGGTTTGGCGGGGGTGGGCTTTTATCCTCTTTTTTGGGCTGGGGGGCGAAATTCCAGCCGTTTTCCACCTCCTGCTCCCTTGGCCAGGTCGTTGCCCTCTCGCCGAGCGCTCCCGGGCTTCTCCTCGCCGCTGGTTTCTTGCTGTCGGGGTTGTCGCTCGCCTTGTTTTCTTTCGTTTTAAGGGAGATTTATTATTTTTTGTTCCGTCTTTCCTGCGCTCTGCACGAGCCGCCTGCGCCTTCCAGGCTGGAGACGAGTAAAGGATGGGCGGAAAAAAAAAAAAACCTCCCCGGGCTGCTTTTTCTTTTTTTTTTAAATTATTATTATTTCCCTGTTTTGTTGGGGTTTTTTTGTCCTTCCTGGTTACAGCCCCTCAAACACCGAATCCTGGTTGTTTCCTTCAAGCTCTTGAAGGGGTCTGGGTCGCTCCCAGGGATTTATCATCCCTGGCTCAGTGTTACCTACGGAATTCCCAGCAAATATCAGAGCAGTGACAAAGAGACGAGGAAAACGCAGGTTTTTGGGTGGTTTTTTGGGGTTTTTTTGGGTTTTTTATCCAGCCTTTGCAGCGGTTTATCCGAGCCTGCCATCCACAGCAGCGGGCTTTGGGTTCCCAGCGTTGTATCCACAATTTCCGAGCTCCTAAGGACGAGGTTCTTGGATTAAAAAAAAAAAAAAAAGACTCTTCCCCCCCCCCCATTCCCCGGAAAGGTTTTATTGGGTTGAAATAAGTCGGGGAGGAGGTGAGGGAGAGGCGGGAGGGGGGAAACGGGTCCTTCCGCAGAGCCGGGGGATCCTCAGCTCGGGAGAAGAGCTCGGACGAGACCAAAAATAATGGCGAGAATAATTTAAAAAATAAATAAATAAATAAATAAATAAATAATAAAATCGAAGCACAACCTTTGCCCTGGGGGTTTTGGCTCGAGGAGGGAGCAATAAGAAATATATACTGGTTTGAACTTTGGAAATCCATTTTTAATCATGAAGCGAGAGGTATGGCATAGATTCCTGATGCCACCGAACAATACAGTAACAAGACTAATCCAAGGAGACAAAGCAAAATGTAATTCCCCCCTCCCTTTTCTTTTTTCTTTTTTTTTTCTTTTCCCTTTCCTTCCTTTTTTTTTCTCTTTTTTTTTTCCTTTTTCTTTTTTTTTCTTTTTTTTTTTTTTGGAGTACTCTTGTAGGAGCAGGAGGGAGGAAAAGGAGAGAGGGAGCTGATTTTTCAGGAACAACACACAGAAGAGAAGTGAACTTTTCTAACAGGCTGTTCTCGACCACAGAGAAAGGTTTCGACTGAAGCTCAGAGGCCGTTCTATAAACTTTTTAAAAATAATATTCAGATTTTATTAAATACTCGACATAGTCCTCTGGACGTGACTTTATACATGAGAGGGTGTAACACAAGATTTTTTATTTCTTTTTTTAAAGGTTTTTTTTTTTTTTCCCTTTTGTTTCTACCGCTATAGAACTCCATTCACTTTATACCGTGGAACATTACAGTGCTAAACATAAATATAAATACAGGTACCACAAACACAGTTAAAAATATTCACACAGAAACTGTCACAGTTTGTAGTATGCGGTGATGAGCCCAGGTAGCTGCTTAAATACAAGGAGGACGCTCTTGGAAAGGCGAGATTTGGGTGGAAGG